CCTTACCAGAAACATGAATTCTCAAAATGGCTTTGATAAATATTGCCTAAGTTATTTGGCTTGCGAGCCAGCTCATGCGGAGCCTTAACCCTAATTCAGTTGCAAATGTGGAGAAATTTCTTTATCACACAGAAAAAAAATCAGGAATAAAGAATGGATCATGTGAATGGATGGTTGTAGTATGTGATGGTGTTCCATATTATCATGCTACCAAATTAAAACAAAAATTTCCTTGGTTGATTCTTGTACCTGGTCAATTACATGAAGAAATGAACATGCTTCATGCATATGTTGAATTGAATCAGTAAATTTAAAATATATATGTTATTTATTTGTTTGTTGTTTTGTTTTCTTTTAAAAACAATAATTTAGTGAAATTGATTTTAAATATTTTGCAAAGTGTCAAGGCTACAGAACAGAAGCTCAGCTTTTATATTTCAAAAAATGTCATAATTATCACAAATATTGGGATTCTATTTGCAATATTTGTTGACAAGCAATGGCCTTAGAGCTTGTGTGACCATATGTAAAAAAGTCAATCAACTTCATCAGCAAAAGGTTATATCACTTGGGCTAAAGAACAAAATGATCTGTTTTATCAATTTAAATATGAACAGGTAAATATTAATTTGTCAATTAATTTATTACAATTGTATTTATACTAATTTTTGAACAGATATTTATCTATATACAAGCAATCATTAATTTTAGAACAGGCATAAGAATAACCAGCTTTTGTTAAGAAATGCAGCAAGAAGAATATTTTCTCCCATTTGGTTAGCAAGAAGACACCCCATATATCATTTAATAGAGATATCAGACAAGGTTCAATTAATGAGACTTCATCCAACTATACATTTAATAAAAAAAAGTTTAAGACCTATTTTGCCATATAAGGTTTAATTAATTGGATTGGTTAATTAATATATTTTTGGATGTGAACTTAATAGTTATCTATCAATTTTTTATTTTATTACTATTATATTATTATTGTCAAGATCTTCAGGCGTAAATTTGGAAAATTTCCCATATAAATTCCGTTCGATATAGTGACTTTTAATATAAATCCTCGATATAATCATATAGTGAAGTTTTACTTGGTACCCCTTATATAACTAAAGATCGATAAGTTTTTATAAAAATTTGTTGATCATTACTTAATTGTATTAAAATAATAATAATTTTTGAATTTAGTATATAATTTGTCGCAAAAAATCTTCTCATGAATATTAACATTAATATGAATTTGGTAATTTGTCGCAAAAAAATTTTTAAAAGTATTATACATGAAATTGAAGAATTAAATTTAGTAATAGTGTTGAAAATAAAGTAATTGGATTTTAGTAATGTGTCGCGAAAAATAAAGTAATTGAATTTAGTAATAATGTGTCGCAAAAATTCAGCAATTCATTTTTTGTAAAAATTTTGCCGATCTTTTTTTGTCAAAACCAACTCTTTCTTATATCAAGCGCCGAGTGTACATGTTAGCCAAATTTGGTTTCGCGTTTGCAAATATTTTGGTGATATTCTGGCTTTTCCATATTCCCTATATCAATGGTCATAAAAAAAACCACACAGAATTTTGGTTATTGAATCAAAGAATTTAAATAATTTTGGATATAATTTTAGCCACTGTTACCAGGATCAGATGATGATGACGATAATTTGGCCGAATCCTTTAATTTTGGGTCAAATTAGATTTTATTTTTATTTCTATTTTTATTTTTATTATTATTTTATTTAATCTATTATTTATTTTTATTTTTAT